CGGCCCAACCCGGGTTTGATTCTCAGCATTCCTTATGGTCCCCCGAGCATGGCCAGGAGTAATTCCTGAGTGCATGAACCAGGAGTAACCCCTGTGCATCACTGGGTGTGATCCAAAGAGAACAAAAAAAAGTTAAAAAAAAAACTTGCAAGTGGAGCTGGAGTGATAACACAGCAGGTAGGGCGTTTGCCTTGCACACAGCTGACCCGCGTTCGATTCCCAGCATCCCCTGAGTACTGCCAGGAGTAATTCCTGAGTGCAGAGCCAGGAGTAACCCCTGTGCATCCCCAGGTGTGACCCAAAAAGCAAAAAATAAAAATAAAAACTTGCAAGTGTTTTGGCCCTCAGCCCCACTGGGGAGGGGTCCTCACCACCAACCCGAAAAATAAAAATAAAATTCTCTTTAAAATAAAAAGCAAAGGATATTGGACAAAACCGTTGGGGACTGAGCTCTGGAAACTCTGCATGGGTGCTGGGCCTTTGTGGCGCTGCTGCCAGAGGGAATGGCCAAGATGCCCCCTTGCAGAGCTGGGAGCACTGTGACGAGGCTCCTGGCTTACTGCACAGCAGGTGGATACCAGGCTGAAGGGTCCTCCTGCAGGGGGCCGATCCCCCCATCCTGCCTCTGGGCTTCCGACACCACGTGATTCTCCTGCCGCGCCCCCACCCCCACCACCAGGCCTGGGGGCTCCAGCTCATTTAGCACTACCACCATCTGGAGCGAAGCAGATGCCGCCCCTGCCCACGTGGCACTCGCTGTGCCACCCCAGAGCCACCTGGAGTCACCGGTCCGGTCTCCCCAAGCCTTGGGGTCCCCCTCTGGGAAAGCACGCGTGGGGACGCGCACATTCTCCCCTCTTCCAGGGGATTCAGCGAGGGCAGCAGGGAAGGCCCCAGTCCTGGCCAGCGGCAGCTGGTCCCTGTTACTGCACCAGTGTAGGAAGGGCCCCCGTCCACGCCTGCGCCTGGACACCCCCAAAGCCAGCAGCGGAGGGGCGGAGGCGGTGGGGGCGAGCTCCAGCACCCATCTGGGCACCCAGCGTTCTGCTCCCACGCGGGGTCAGAGGAGCCCAGCCGGCCGCCTGCCCACGCCGCGCCCCCAGCCAGAGCCCAGATGGGCTCAGGCTTCTGTCTCGGGGATATTTCCGAGGGGCGCACGCCTGCGTCTGCATTTATGCATCCTCCACAGCCTCGCCGGCCGGCGCGCCTATAAAAAGCTCTGCATGCCACTTTCCTTCACATGGGCATGGTGGGAGGGATGAGACAGCTCTTCCGGATGCCCAGTTCCCTCGCCTGCACCCCCCACGGCCACGGGAGGGGAAAAACACCACCTCAACATCAGCATCAGCTCTGGTGGGGTGTGGGATGGGGCAGGCCAGGCGCCTCGTTAAAATATTAAAAGTCTATCGGCAGTTTTCTCTAGGACCTGGGTCCAATGTGACCAAAATGAGTGAGTCATTTCACTCAGCAGTTGGTGACCAGATGAGACAAAGGCCTGGTCCCCTCCTGCTGCATCCAGCCACGGGGTTTTGCTGTCTTCAGATGTTCCTTGAGGTCCTGTTTCACACCTTTTCATTTAGGTGGACTGGAAGGCATGAGGGGTTTGATTAGTTAGCGGGGTTGTTTTGTTGTTGTTGTTGTTTTTGGATTCTGGGCCACCCCTCACCATGCTGGTGGACCAGCCTGAGGCCAACACCTGTGGCTATTTGCAAATTGTGGGTCAGGGTCCCACACACTGGCTGTGTCCCGTGTGTTGCAGGCTGAAAGGGGGAGCCCCTTCATGCTTTGGGCCCCTTGAAGCCCCTTCATGCTTCATAATCACCTCCGGGGAGGTGCCAAGCTCTGCGGAAACTGGGTCCCACCAAGGACGGAAGGGCCAGTCTCTGCTCCTGCCCTGGGGGTGGGGGCACACTCCGGGGGCCTGGCATCGCTGGCTGTCCTGGTGCACCAGGCCCTGCAGGGAACTTTGAGGCCTTACATGCTGGTGGCACCTTTCTACCTCCTTCCATATAATGTGTACGAGAATTAGACTAAATATTCTTTTAGAATAGATGTGTTAAAACCTTGAGTCACTGGGCCTGTGGAGAGGCTCAAAGGGCAGAACACAGGCTTTGCATATGGAGGGCCTTGAGGGGGGCCTGGGTTCAGTTCTAGGCACTGCATGGTCCCCAGCACTGCCAGAAGCAACCTCTGAGCTGAGAATAACCTCTGAGCTCCCCTAGATGTGCCCTCCACCCCTCAAAACAAAACAAAACAAAAATGACTTAGATGCAAACAAGGTTGAGACGGTCATTTTGGGGGACAGGCTCTGTTTCTGAATCTGAATGCTCTGAAGCTTCCTGTGCAGACACGAGTTTGGCCCTCGTGGCCGTGGGAGGCGCCAGTACCGCCCTGGGGCGTCTGAGTCCATCAGCTCCACAGTCTGTGACTGCCCTGTCCACTGATGGGAAACCGTGGCTGGAGAGCAGTCGTGGCCCCTCCGAGAGTGGCAGGTGATGTGCAGATATTTGGGGGCTTCAGTACAGGGGGGCAGGAGAGCCTTCGTGTGGCACCTGGCTCGGGGACAAAGAGGAAGGAAGAATTTGTAGGGGAGACTCCCGCCGGGGCCACAGCCCAAGACGGAGAGTCTAATCCGGGGCCTCTCACTGGTTCGGCCTGCGCCAGCGGAACCCTCAGTTCTTGGCGGGGGTCCCCTCCAGAGAAGCACGTCCCATGGCCATGCAGGTGGCTCCGCGCCGCTGTGCTGTGTCCTGGGAACATGGAGGCCTCAGAGACTGTTGACAGCTTCGTTGTGTCAGGTTCAGCTGTTTAATCCCCCCCCTCCATGAGCACCCGGCCCAGCTCCTCAGCCTTCTCGGTCCAGACACCCGATCCAGGAATTCCGACTTGGGAGACCAGAGAGGGCTGGCGACGTGTCTAGGGACACACAGCGCGCTGGCAGCGAGGCCAGGAACACAGGCCCGGGCCTTGCACCATGGCCCCGACGCCAGGTAGCTCCCCTGGGCCCTGTCGCAAGGCCGTGTGACTTTGTCTGTGGCAGCTCAGCACCCGTGCCGAGGTTCTTCCAAGTCGGGGAGCGGACGATCAGGGAGGAAGGAACCCGGTGCGGAGCTGGCGAGACGCGGGCGACCGCCTCTTGGTCCAGGGCACGGCGTCTGATTGGCTGTCGGCCTCACGTGGCTCCAGCGGCAACGGCGGATTGGCTGTCTGTCTCACGTGACCCCAGGAGCCCGCGCCCTCTGATTGGCTGTCCTGCCTCGTGACTCGGGGAACCGGCCTCGTTTGCCGCGTCGCTCGGTCTCAAGTGACTCCCTGGCAGCCGAGAAGAAGCTCACGTTCTGTCAGGCCCCGTGCCCTGACGGGGGCTGGGGGCTCGGCGGGCAAAGCGGAGAGAGGGTCCGCGTCACGGGGTGCCCCTGTCGCCTTCCCGAGGGACAGTCGCTCACCCGGACCCGCCTCCTCAGTCCTCAGACCTGACAGAGGCGTTGAACTCGGTGCACGCAGCCAGAACGCGCCTCCAGCTCACCCCCGCGGGGACCCCCGGGCCCCAGCCCGCGCCTGCAGATCCCTGGCAGCCGTCGCTGCCCCACCTCCAGGAAGTGAAGGGGCCTCAGTTTCCCCATTTGTGAACCGGGCACACGACAGAGTGCGCCTCACAGGGCTCTGGTACATTGAACCGGGTTCTTGGCCGCCAGGCACCATCTGCAGTCAGCCTGACTGAGCCTCTGAGGCCCGACACTTTCCCCTCAAGTTGGGGGGCCCGGGGGCAGCAGCCCAGGACCCAGCCGTTGCCTGGCCCTGGCAACACCTGAGCTTCCCTCTGGAGAAGCCGGAAGGTGGTGTTCCCCCCCCCCCCAATTCCTCAGCGGGGAAACTGAGGCTCCAGCTGAACTTCAGGCTTTGCAAGGCCACCAGCTGGGTTCTCCCTGGGACCACCAAACTGAGACTGGGAGAGCACCATGCCCCTGCTCTGAGAGGTGGCCTAGGGCCACCCCGCCAGCCCCCGAGGGCAGATGCCCAGCACTGCCCCCCCCCATGGCAGGTGACAGGCCAACGCCTCCCACTGCCCAGGGAGGCTGGGAGCCCTCCAGGGCGGACTCACCACCAAGCCCACTCCCTGTTTATCTAACTTCACTGACCCCGGCAGAGCTTCCCTCCCTTTTCATCCTTTCTCAAAAAAACCAGGACACAATAGGAAGCGTTTCCTTGAACTTATTAAAAAATCCAGACTTGTAAATTAATTTGTCCGTGTTGTACAAAGGCAGTGCAGATGGACTCATTAGCATGCACACAACAAATAATTATAGATGAATTTTTAGCTGGCCTGCCTAATGCTCTTGCTGGGTTAATTATGTCAATGTATAATTACATCAGCCCGGGGAGACATAATGGCGTACCCCGCTGAGCGGGCCCTGCCTAATGACAGGGCGTGGGGGGTGCCACAGAGGAAAGGTGCCCAGCCTTCCCCGCACCTGCCTGCCATGCACAACTGCCCGGTGTCCTCGCTTCCTGATGCCGGAACGTAGGCTGGACTCTAGGGACCAAACCAGAGGCCACCTTGTTCCAGCCGGACCTGAAAGCCCCAGAGAACCACCCCTGTCTTGTTACTTCAGTTGGCAGTTCTTGGGTCAGACTGTGTCAGGCTTCATGTTAAGCGTCAGGGGTCCAGTGGAGCCCACTCAGATGCTGTCTCTTCCGTCCCCCTGCGTGACTTAGCATTCTGTGAGTATTCGTTAGGGAATTTTGCAAATCAATTACAAATTGTAATCACAGAGTCCAGCGAAAGAAAGGGCAGGCAGCTGGAAGAGCTCCTGCCTGAGGGCTGGTTGGTCAGGGAAGGCTTCCTGGAAGAAGCGGCATTTGAGTTGCAATATGAAAAGGGAGGAATCATTAAACAGCTGGATGGTGGGCCATGTGCCTGGCAGCAACTCCTGCCTCTGCCGAGGCTCTGGAGTGGAAAGGAGCATTTGAGGGACAGTGGCCTTGTTCTCTCTGTGCAGACCCTGTACCTGTGTTTGAGGCGGCGCGTAACCTCGACGACAGACTGCAGACCCCCAGCCTTGACCACAGCGGGCCACCCCGGCGGGACGTCCACAACGCGTGGAAGAGGCACCCGGAGCTTCTCAGCCCCAAAGGTGCGGACCACGGGGCCGTGGCCACCAGGCTGTGCCCCAGGCAGCGATGGAGAGTCCTGGAGCTGGTGGTGGGGGTGGATCAGGCGAACCTGGTCAGACAGGGCCCTCGAAGTCCTGGGTTTGAGGGGTGGGATATTGCCTGAGTGCCCCTGCCCTCCGCCCCATTGCATTCAGGCTACTGATAACTGAGAAGGAGTACACCCCCTCCAACCACACCCAGGGCCCCAAACGAAGCCGTACCCCACTGCCAAAGAAATGGGCATTTAAAGTGGGGGCCCAGGGACTGGAGTGATAGCATACCAGGTAGGGAGTTTGCCTTGCATGCTGCCAACCCGGGTTCGAATCCCAGCATCCCATTATGGTCCCCTGAGCACCACCAGGAGTAATTCCTGAGTGCAAAGTCAGGAGTAACCCCTGAGCATCGCCGGGAGTGACCCAAAAATCACATAAATAATAAATAAAGTGGGGGCCCAGCTATTCTGCTGCTTGCTAGGTAAAAGCCCAAATTACAGGAAGCAGGCAGGGGCTCACCCCAAATCATGAGACCCGATGACCACACCGCCCCAGGAGCCCATGGTGGGCATGGTCCAATGTGTGGAAATAGGCGTGGTCGCCACATCTGGGGAGTGTGACCTGCCCCGGGGAGGAAGGAGGCTCCAACCTGCGCTGCAAGCAGGACAGGAAGCTGCAGGAAGACACGAGGCCAAGAGGACAGAGCCAGCCCAGAGGACACCCCTGGTCTGAGGGCAGCACCGTGGTCTGTCTACGTAGCAGTCACCCCCACAGAGAGGGGCATTGCATAGCATTGCTGTGGGAATCGTGGCTCTGAATCGCACCCTTTAAGAGGTCACATCACTCCAAGAAGAGAGCCAGGGAGGTAGGACGAGGCACCCCAACCCGGGGCAGCCCAGCTCCAGTTCTGGACACCACATGGCACCCCGCTCACTACTGGGGTGGTCTGCCATTGGGAAACGCTGCTGGGCCTATGGTGGCCCCAACAGCAGCAGGAGAGGCCAAGGAGACAGGAGGCTGGCATGCTGCTGCTGTCCAGGGCTTCCCCAAGGGACCCAATCATTCTGCCAGTCGTGAGGTCAGGCCCTCCATGACTGCTTCTCCCTCTTCTTCCCCGCAGAGCAGAGAGAGGGGACATCTCCCGCGGGGGCCACGCTGACCGAGGGCGGCCGCCTCCCCGGCATTCCCGGCAAAACCCTCCTGACAGAGACTTTGCTGCAGAGAAATGAGGTGGAGAAGCAGAAGTGAGTGGGAAGGGCGACGGGCTCAGGGACCCCCTGGGAATGTAGGTCAGGGACAAGCTGCAGGCCTGGCTTTGAGCTCCAGCTCAGCAACCCACTGGCCAGGGTTGGGCAGGTCACATCACCTCTCTGCGCCTCAGTTTCCTCATCTGGAAAAAAGGGGTAATGGCAGGGTATTAGACTGGCCAGTGAGACCGAAGCAGAAGGGTTTTTTGAACACTCAGTAATAGCTGGATTCCAGGGACCTGGTCACAGGCTCCGAGCTGGCCAGCAGATGGCCACATTGGCGCTGGGGTCTTACCACATGGAGCAAGACCATCCACCTTACAGCCTCGCCTCGGCTCCTGTGTTTCAGGATGGTGGGCATGGGGACCTCCCAGGGGACGCAGCTCCCACTGGCCTCAGATTCTGGGGTTTGTTCCATTCTCCTTCAGTCACCTGTCTGTTCCTTCCTTCCTGACCCCCTTCCACATGGTGGTGACCAGCGACAGTGGTCAGCAGTGTTCTTGGAACACGCTGCAGTGAATAAAATGCCCTCCAGGAGGACAGACTGCCCACTCCCCACTAACATACAGCTAGGACCCCTGTCTCTATTCGGGTGACCCCCCACGTGGCCTGAAGGCATCCCAGACTCCTGCCACAGCAGGGGCAAACATCCTCCAGCACAGCCTGGTGACAAACGACAGGAGCTGCTGGGGGTACCTCCCGCCAACTACGATTCTAGCGGAAACCCCCTTTTCAGATGGGGAAACTGAGGCCCAGAGAGGTAGGTGGTTCCTATAGGCCCCCCGAAAGTACCACCAGCCTTAGTGTGAGGTCGCAGTCCACAGAGAAGAGGGCAGCCAGGTGGGGAGTGGCCACATACAAGGGGCCTGGGGGGCAGTCGGGGTCCCGGTCCCCGAGCGTGAGCAGACTCAGTCTCTCCACAGGGGCCTTCAGGAAGTACAGATCACTTTGGCAGCCAGACTGGGGGAGGCCGAGGAGAAAATCAAGGTCCTGCATTCAGGTACGTGCCGGGCCTGGCATGCCGGGAGGAGTGGATGGGGCAGTGCCATGGTGTCCGAGGAGCAGGATGGACAGAAGGAGTCTGGGGCGGGGATCCCTGTCACGGGAGTCTGAGCCCCCGTGCCTGGAGACCACACTACAGGGAGAGGCTTGAGGGTCCAAAACCACCCAGTTAGTGGGGTGCTCCCCCCCACTCAGAAAACCAGCTTTGTCTGCAGTGCTGGCTGGGCCCCTCCAATCTCCTGGAGTGGCCAGTGGTGTCCACGTCTGCTCACTGGGCTGCCCCCAGTATCGGACAGACCCGAGAAAGTCTCGGCGCCTCTTTCTGACTTTGTGCTTTTCCAGCATTAAAGGCCACCCAGACGGAGCTGCTGGAGCTGCGGCGGAAGTACGATGAGGAGGCTGCAAGCAAGTAGGTAGACACCTGGCTGAGGTGTCCCTCCTCCCTCTGACCCTCCCAGACATGCCTCCTCCCTTTAATCCTCCAGACGTGCCTCCTCCCTTTCAATCTCCGGGACAGGCCCCCTCCCTCCCGCCCTCCCAATAGAATTAGGGACTGTGATTCAGAGTAGTCAGGGAGGGCTTCCCAGTGGAGGTGACCTTCAGACTGAGACCTGACATGAGAAGCATGACAGGAAGGATGTGCCAGGTGGTGGTGACGGCGCACTGAGCAGAGGCCCTGCATGTGTGGAAGCACACTCCCACTTTTTGGCACGGGGAGACCCTCTCAGTGCTGGTGGTCTGGGCAAGGCAGGTGGGCACAAGGCCAGGGAGGCGGCTGGGGGTGGTGGAGTGAGGGCATCCGGGCCTGTCCTGCAGCAGGAAGGGACTCCCGAGGGCAGCACCGAGAAAAGCAAGAGGAGGGGGCACAGCCTGGAAGGGACAGCGCTGCCCCCTTACCCATACACGCTGTGCTGCAATGCGGCTGCTCTGGGGGGTGCTGGGGCGGGTTGGGGGGTGCCGTGCAGACCCTCCTCAGGGCCTCATCTTTCTGTCTCAGGGCAGATGAAGTCGGCCTCATCATGACCAACCTGGAGAAAGCCAATCAGGTGAGAGGAACACAGAGCACCCTCAGCAGGGGGCTGGGCTGGGGGCAGGGCATGGGCCAGGGCACAGGTGCTGACCCCCCACTGTGGTCAGGGTAGAGGGGGGAGCAGGGAGGGGCCGCCTGCACAGGTGAGGAAACACCATCCAACCCACATGCCCATCCTCGGCCCAGCAGTGACACAGGGGTCCAATGCAGGAGTCCCTGAGCCAGACTCAATGCAGGGGCACATGCCCAGAGCCGGGCGGCATAGGGACCACACACACACACACACACACACACACACACACACACATACACATACACCCTGGGTCTCCTCCAGCCTCAGCCTCCTCATCTAAACACAGCTGTGCCCGCTGGACCCAGCCTTCTTGGGCCCTTCTTCTCTGTGTCACTTGGGTTCTTGTGCGTCCTTGGGCCTCCCCCCGGGTGGGAAGGGGGTTCCTGCTGCCACCCTCCCATATGCTCCCATCGTGGAAATAGAATTTGTCAGAAGCTGGGCAGGAAGAATCTGAGGTCCTGTTCGCTGGCTCGGTGGCCGAGACCCTCTGGTCCACACTGAGGGGGCGTCTCCGAACCCCTCCATATCTGGAGCCACGCAGCTCTGTGGTGGAACCACCTCCCAGGACAATGAACCCTAGAGGTCCAAGAGAATCGGGGGAGGAACGGGGCCACCCCTCCCGCAGCCCACAGCTCCCCCACACACACTGCCCAGCCCCCCTGACAGTGGGTCTGCAGGCCTGTTCTGTCCGCGGCGTCTGTCTGTGTGACAGCCGATGGCTCAGGCGCACAAGCCGGTTCACACAAGTACGTTGCCAGAAGTGGAACCCCGGGGTCTGTGGCTCGGTGGCCAGGCTGCCCCCCTCAGGGTTTTGTTTCTTCACACTCGCTGGCCTCCTCAAACATCCTCAGAGAGATGGGGGATCTCTGCCGCAAGAGGCTTTTAAGAAAACAAGATCCGCCAGTAGGCTGCAGAGGGAGTCTGAAGTTTTATTGGGAAGAAAATCCAGGCCAGCTCCCCAGCATGAAGGTGTGGAACAGACACCCCCCGGCACACGATCTGCTCCCTCACCTAGGGTTCGCCCCTACTCTACAGACTGTGGGAGAGGGGGTGACTCCCCTCAATGGTGTTCTCACACGGTTCCAGCCACCACTTTCCCTGCAGGGACCGTGGGAGCAGGTGCCCCCAAGACGGGGGATGTCTCTCCGGGCCGTGGCGAGCAGGAGGGCAGACCCAACCTTCTTACATTTTTACATTCTGCACGGAAGTCCTTTTCTGCAGGAAAAAAGACTTGGAGTCTTTTTGTTTGTTTGGGTTTTAGATTTGGGGTCATACCTGGCACTGCCCGAAGCATACTCCTAGAGGTGTGCTTAGGGATCACTCCTGGCTGTGCTCGGGACAATAGGGGGTGCCACTGTGCTGTCTCTCTGGTCCCAGAGATTTAGGATCTTAAACCCCGGCTCTCCAGGGCCTGGAAACTCGCCCCCAGGGAAGTCCGTCTTGCAGGCTCTCACCAGCTAATAAGCTGAAAGTGGGTTTCCAGGGCTTTCCGCATAGCCCAGATGCCACTTTTCCATCAGATTTGCTCAGAAGCATGAAATATTTCCTCCCCAACCCACATAACCCCAAACCGAACTGACCTGAGCCATTTCCAGAACTCGGCAAATACCAGCAGAGGACTAGGTGTGCCCGTGGGGGTGCCAGTGCCCATGGGGGTGCGGGTCATGTGCCGTGAACCGAGTGCTTTGTCACCTCGGCCTTGGCAGAATCGGCATGGTGTCCAGGGGGGGCCTCGCCAGCCACAGATGGGTCCAGTGGTCCTTTGTGCTTTCCCATCTTGCACTTGGGCACCTCTGGCCGCCCTGGTGGTGAGAGCCCAGCTGTTCAGGCATGGCATCCATCTCCGTGCCCAGCACCCAGGATCCCCCTTTGACAGAGAGGGACACTGACCTCTGGAGCCAAGACCAGGAGATGAATTTTGCTACCCATGGTCAGGCCAGTAGGACGCGGGGCACAACTTCCCCTGCAGACACAACGGGGCCCCCAGTCCTTGGTGCTGCTTTCCAGGCTTCTTTTTGCTTGGCTTTGGGCCTATACCCGGTGGTATGCAAGACTCCTGGCTCTGTGCTCAGAGATCACTCCCGGTGTGACTCTGGGACTCGAACCCGGCTCAGCCGCATCTCCAGGCTTTTTCTCCTTAGACACTCTGGGAGACTTCAGCGTGTCTGTCAGCACAGTTCCTGTCGAATTCTGGTGTAGAGGGTTTTCAGCACGTTGCATTGTCTCTTTCACAAAAGGAAACTGAGGCCCAGGTAGTGGAAGCCGCCTGCTTGGGGCACCTGCAGCAGTTTGTGAGTTGGGGTGCCACGTTGAAGACACCCACATGACCCGCAGGCCAGGGATTGAATCTGACCTTCTGAGGTTTTCTGTCTGAAGTGGCCGGAAGTGTGAGCAAAACGTACTGCATCATCAAGACTGAATCTGGGGGCTGGAGCGATAGCACAGTGGACAGGGCGTTTGCCTTGCAGGCGACCAACCTGGGTTTTGTCCCTGGCATCCCGTGTGGTCCCCTGAGCACTGCCAGGAGTAATTTCTGAGTGTAGAGCCAGGAGGAACCCTGTGCATCGCCGGGTGTGACCTCAAAAAAAAAAACTGCATCTGCCTCCTGGCCCCTCTGGGTGTGCTGTGACATCCTGACAACCCCCCCACCTGCCCCAGTGCAGGTCCCAGCAGTTGGCGCTGTCCTCCCGGCTCAGACATGGGCTGGGGTGCTGCTTGCTTTGGCCCTTCCCCGTACTCTGCGGCCAGTCAGAAAGCGGGGCCCTGCCTCCCTGGCGCAGGCACACGGGGTGCAGAGCGGCTCTGCAGCACCCCTGGGCCACACTCACCACCTTCTCCTCCCCAGCGAGCAGAAGCTGCCCAGCGGGAGGTGGAGAGTCTCCGGGAACAACTGGCCTCCGTCAACAGCTCCATCCGCCTGGCCTGCTGCTCCCCGCAGGGACCCAGCGGGGTAAGGACAGTGGGGAGGCCCCGTGGGCGACACCTTGGCAGCCCTGGGAGCCAGTGGGCGTCATGCCTTCTGCCGGATGCCAAAGCTGGTAGCACCGCCCCACAGCTTGGGTGACAGACACCAGTGGTCGCTGTCGACCACCAGACCACCAGTCTTGCGGGCTCCATCCCTGCAGACGGAGACAGTGCCCAATCTGAGGTCAACACTGGCCCCCTCAATGTGCCCAGAGGATTCGACTGAACTTTCCCAACCAGCCACAGGCGACTGTGACGGTCGTTTGTTCTGCGGCTCCCGCAAGACCAACCAGTCACTATATCTTCCTCCGCCCTCCTCGCTGGTGCCCCTCTAAGGCATCGGGGATTTCCTGCTGAGGGGTCTTAGCCAGCACACTGCCCTCTTGTTGCTCCTTCGTCTTCCCTGGGGATCTTCACGGGTCCTTCCCAAGTCCCGGGTCTACCCCAGACCCCACACAGCCCTGGTACATGGCTCCGGAGCGGCCTCCGTGGTCTCCTCTCGCCAGTACACACCCCTGCATGTCCACCCCTGCCTTTCCCTTCACACCCAGCATGTGTCACCATGAACATGTGCTGCTGTGCAGGTATGTTGACCGCATCTGAAGCAACTGATCCTCAGTCTAGCGGTGCCTCAGTTTCCCCACTTGTATCCGTCAGCCCTTCCTCACAGGGTTAGCGTGAGAGCATTCTGCGCAGCCCACCCACCTGGGATCTTGGCTCTCAGCGGGAAACATTTGGCCCCCGTCCCGCCGTGCTGGCGTGTGGGGTGTGTCTAGAGCACACGTGTGTCTGTGTGTGTGTCCATCTGCACAGTTCCTTGCTGCCTGTGAGTTTTTTGTGTGTGTGCACGTGCCAGGATGCGTGTTCCGGCAGGCGTGTGTGTTGTCTCACCTGTGTCCGCGTCCCAGGGGCAGTGTGCAAGTGTCCGTGTGCCCAGTGTCTGCTGACAGAGACTGACAGGGACAGGCGAGAGCTCCCAAGGACGCCCCGAGATTCCACCAGTGGCTCTTAATTAACCCCCGTGAAACCCAGCTAATGCTGGTGCTAATCAGCCTCGGGGAACTTGGCTGGTTTGGGGGGTGATCTTTCCTGAGCACAACAGTGGTGCTCAATGCTAATTAATTTAATGTGTTAATGGCATCCGCTTCCTGTTTGAATTGGCGCTCATCTCCGTGGAAGAACAGCCGGGCTTGCTGGCGCTCCCGGGTGTCCCTCTTCGATTCCTTTGGAACTGACTTCGGGGCCCCTCCCAAGGCAGGCGCCCCGCCCTCCCAGGACCAGGGGTGCCTTCTCATGGCCTGAGGTTTGAGGGAACATCCGATTCAGGAGCCTTCCGTGCTGTTCCTCTGCCAAGATCCCCATAAACCACTTCCTTTTCTGTCCTTTTTGGGGGATACGGAACTACACCCAGCGGGGCTCAGGGCCTTACTCCTGGCTCTGTACCCAGGGGTCACTCCTGGTGGGGCCAGGGGACCATATGGGGTGCCAGGGATCGAACCCAGGTCGGCCACGTGCAGAGCAAGTGCCCTCCTCACTGTGCGAGCTCTTTGGTCCCTTTTCCTGTTCTTTCCAAAGAAATGTTTCAGGGACCACAGAAATAGTACAAGAGGTTCAGGTGCTCACCTTGCACAAGTCGACCCTGCCTGGATTCCCAACCCCATGTGGGATCACAGGCGCCCCCCCACCCCAGAGTGCCCATCTCAGTTGTGACCCAACAGCCCGGTCCCGCCTGGTGCATCAGCTCATCACTGAAACACGCGTGCTCGACACTCATGCTCTGGCCGGGCTGCTGCCCCGCCCCCAAGCCCACAGGGAGTCGGGGTCTTCCTTGCGCCACAGGCCACAGCGTTGTTCCTCACACTCCGCCCCTCCCCCTCCGGGGCTTGACGGGCAGAGAGGCTGCGATGGATGCGCCCCTGCCATGGCCACAACAGGAAGGGAAGCACCGGCCCCGCGGGGACGCGGCTCACACTGTTCCCGCTGGCTTGGGGGTATCGAGGCAGGGGGCCCTACACCCACCCCCTCAGCACCCTCCTCTCGGTCCCCAGGACAAGGTGAACTTCGCCCTGTGCTCCGGCCCTCGGCTGGAGGCGGCGCTGGCCTCCAAGGACCGTGAGATCGTGCGTCTGCTGAAGGACGCCCAGCACCTGCAGAACTCACTGCAGGAGCTGGAGGAGGCGTCAGCCAACCAGATCGCCGAGCTGGAGCGCCAGCTCACCGCCAAGTCCGAGGCCATCGAGGTGGGGGCCGGGCCAGGGCCGGGGGCCAGGGCATAAGGTCGGGCCAGTCTCACCTGTGCTCTGACTCTTCCAGAAGCTGGAAGAGAAGCTCCAGGCTCAGTCTGACTACGAAGAGATCAAAACAGAATTGAGGTATGCGGGACGGCCCCCCACAGCCCCCCTCTGCTCTGCGTATCTCCCCCTATGTGCTGGGACCCCCACTAGGGTAGCCTGTGGCAGAAGGCACCGGGGACCCTGGATGTCAGGGGACATAGATCAGACAAACCCGGGTCCCACACTCAGGATACCCAGTTCCCAGCCCGCTGCCTTCAGCCGCTATGACAACGAGCCTGGTGTTACTTGGGGGTCAGGGTGGGGGGTCCTTCCTGTCCACCAGATAAGTCGTTCCTGCGTGCCGCCCGCTGGGACCTGGCGCCGGCTCACATGGTCCTGCTTTCCCCGGCAGCATCCTGAAAGCCATGAAGCTGGCCTCCAGCACGTGCACCCTCCCCCCGGTGAGTGCCCCCCGCTCCTGTCCCCGTGGGGACCCTGGCCTGGAGCCCCCGCTAGCTCCCCGTCTCATCCCCCCAGAGCATGACCAAGCCCGAGGACTCGCTGCTCCTGGCGAAGGAGGCCTTCTTCCCCGCGCAGAAGTTCCTGCTCGAGAAGCCGGGGCTCCTGGCCAGCCCAGGTAGGGGGGATGCTCGGGGGGCCAGCGCGAGCAGGAGGGCTGAATAAGGGGGGCGCTGGTGTGCAGGGGAGCCTCCCCCTCACCCACAGACACCGGCAGGGCCACCGTGTCCTCGCCGTGGGCTGTGCCCCCTCTCCCCCCCTAGGGGGCTGAGGGGGGCTGTGCTGTGCCGGTGAAACATGGGGTGCCTGGGTGGGTGCTGCCCAGGAAGTGGGCAGGCCACTGGGGTGCGGACCAATCTGACCACCCCGGACAGGGGCCCCTCAGAACCGGCTCTCAGGCCAGACCTGAGGGATGAGGATTTGGGGGCGGGGAGAAAAAGCACCTGTGTGGGGGGCTTCTTCCTGCTGAGCCCTATAGTGCTCCCTACCCTGCCCCACATCCCGGCCCCTCCTGTGTCTGTTGCTGTCTCTCTCTCTCTCTCCCTCTCTCCTTTCTTTCTTCCTCTTTTCCCTCTCGCTGTCCCCGTTTGTGTGTCCCTTGCACCCTGTCTCTCCTCCCCCTCGTTCCGTCCACCTGTCCGTCTCCACGCTCTAGAGGAGGACCCTGCAGAGGACGAGCCCCTCAAGGACTCGCTGGGCCCGGAGCAGCCCTTCCCGTCCCCTCCGCAGCTCCCGCCGCCCCCGGGGCCTGAAGACCCCCTTTCCCCCGGGCAGCCCCTGCTGGGCCCGGGCCTGGGACCCGACGGCCCCCGGACTTTCTCGCTGTCCCCCTTCCCCAGCCTGGCCCCGGGGGAGAGGCTGGCGGGGGACACGCTGCTCCCCAAGCACTTGGTGGCCCCGGCCGCCTTCAAGGGGGAGGCAGGCGGCCTGCTGGTGTTCCCCTCCACCTTCTACGGCGCCAAGCCCCCCACAGCCCCTGCCACCCCCGCACCTGGCCCCGAGCCCCCGGGGGGCCCCGAGCTGGCGGAGGGCAGCGGTGGGGGGCCGGCGGGCCCCGGGGCAGACGAGGAGCAGCTGGACACGGCCGAGATCGCCTTCCAGGTAAAAGAGCAGCTGCTGAAGCACAACATCGGGCAGCGCGTGTTCGGCCACTACGTGCTGGGGCTGTCCCAGGGCTCCGTCAGCGAGATCCTGGCGCGGCCCAAGCCCTGGCGCAAGCTGACGGTGAAGGGCAAGGAGCCCTTCATCAAGATGCGCCAGTTCCTGGCCGACGAGCAGAACGTGCTGGCACTGAGGACCATCCAGGTGCGGCAGCGAGGTGAGCAGCCCGGGGCGGCCCACAGCTGTGCCTCAGTTTACCCGTCTGATGGCCTCAGTGCCTGATCGCCCTGTGGAGCCCCAGGAGGGGCCGGGCTCTGACCTCACCAGCCCCCGAGGGGAGCCCCAGGCGGCCTGCTCCGTGAGATCTTGCCCTGATCCCGGCCCTGTGGTCACCGTGTGGTTTGTCCCATGACCTCTCTCTCGGGGTCCGACCTGCAGGCCGCCGTGACTGACGCCTTCCTTGCCTCCCCAGGCAGCATCACCCCCCGAATCCGCACACCCGAGACCGGCTCGGATGACGCCATCAAGAGCATCCTGGAGCAGGCCAAGAAGGAGATCGAGTCGCAGAGAGGGGGTGAGTGTGGCTGGGGCTCCCTCTGCCCCACACCCACCCTGCAGCCACACGGGACCTCGTCTGCAGATGCCAGAGCCAGACTTCCAGAGGCACCGGCCACAGCACCGGCATTTCAGCGACATGACCAGGCAAATGCCCCAGGAACAGGGACCTCCCCCCACAGACAGGGGGGCCTCCTCTCATAGACAAGGGAACCTCCCCCCATAGACAAGGGAACCTCCCCCCCACAGACAGAGGAACCTCCTCCTACAGACAGGGACCATGGTGTCTGGACCACTGAACGAGTCGCCCCACATTTCTGGGATGCTGGACTCATGTTGGCGCCACCTTTTCGGGGCAGTTCCATGAGGTCACAGGGTACCGGGATGGCTGCACCCTGAGGTCTGCGAGGTCCAGCAGCCTTGCGTGTGCTCTGGGGAGCTCCATGTGCCCAAGGAAGCCTACAGCTGATGAGTCTGTGCACCCCCCACCCTCCACGGGGTGTCGCGTCACGTGGACTCCTCCTCCTGGGCCCTGGTACCCCTCCCCCCAGAAACCTCTCACCTGGTCCCACTTTGCACCTCACTTAGGAATCACCTCTTCCAGGAAGCCCTCAGCCCCATCCAGTCGGATTGGATGCCCCTTCCTTGGCCCTCACGTAATTACCTACGTGTGTGGAGCCCAACTAGCCTGGCCACCAACCCAGACTCTGCTACTTACGGGCTTTGTGGCCTGGGGCGAGTTACTTGGCCTCTCTGTGCCTCCCTCTGTCCTTCCAATGCTTCCCCTTCTGTGTTTGTGTCATGAATGACTGCTGCTGTGACTGTCCCAGTCCGGAGGATCCGAGTCACGTCCTTGCAGCCTCCGTGCCCGTCCTGTGTGCTGGTGCAGCTCCCCGCTCCATTTTGCAGCGTCGGCTGCCCCCTAGTGGCGGCGCAGGGCACGGCCCCTAAAGGTGTGCAGGCTCAGGCACGGGGCCCACCTGCCCCTCCCCCTCACAGCATGCCTGTTCTGGCCCGTCCTGTTCCTGGACCGCAGCCTTCGAACTGCTCACTCACTGCTGAGGGTTCAGGTGCCACGTGTGGCCCCGGGCTGGGTGCCTGGTGCCTTCCACCAGGGTGCCATCGTCCTCAGAAAAGCGATGGTGCTGGTGTTCTGAGAGGTGTCTGGGCTGGGAGAGGCAGGTCCATGCGAGTATGATGCTGCGGGCCACGGGGAGCCGCTGTTTGGGCAGCCCTTGTGCTTCCCACGTGTTAGCAAGAAAGGTTTTGGGTCTGGGGAGCTGGTGAGGGGGTTGGCGGACTTGCCTTGCACGCAGCCAACCCTGGCTCCATTCCCAGGACCACATGGTTCCCTGAGCCCCTCTGGGGTCACCCGAGAGCCCCCTGCCTCCTGTAAGAACAAATGGTTTCCACAAAGGAATATCCATCTGGTGGTCCTTGTTCAGGAACTCTTATAGGAGCAGGTCCTCCGTGACTCATCTGGGGCTTGCCTTTCTCACACATTGTTCAAGTTGCAGGTGGTCTGACCCAGGGCCTCCTTTTACACTGCCGTGTAATACTCCACGGTCTGGGTCTGGGCTATTGCCGCCTGTCCAGAGGACTGGGCATCTCGGCACATGTGCATTAGAGCACAGAGCTGGAAGAACCTGAATCTCTTCGGCTGCTGGCAGTTCCGTGCGTTGTGTGGCTGTTCCCTGGTGGTGATGACAACCACCCACCATGTTGTGGGCGGGTGTGACCTCTCATGTTTTGCGGTGCCCCTATCATCTTTGCTTTTTGGACCGTGCCCTGACACTGGACCTCTCTGCCCCTCCTTGCAGGTGAGCCCAAGAACCCATCGGCCCCCTTGAGCATGGCCAATGGCTCAGCGTCTGCCAGCACCTCGGAAGATGCCATCAAGAACATTCTGGAACAGGCCCGCCGTGAAATGCAGGCCCAGCAACAGGCCCTGCTAGAGATGGAGGCAGCTCCCCGGGGCCGCTCTGTGCCCCCGTCTCCCCCGGAGCGGCCCACGCTGGCAGCCGCCGGCCAAAACGGGACCCCAGCCCATGTCAAGCAGGAGGACGGTGGCCCAGGGGGTGGCGGGAGCACCAGCAGCAGCGCCACGCAGACGCCCCTCCCTGTGCTCTCGCCCGCCGCCTTCGTGCAGAGCATCATCCGCAAGGTCAAGTCGGAGATTGGCGACGCCGGCTACTTTGAACACCACTGGGCCTCGGACCGCGGCCTGCTCAGCCGACCCTACGCCTCCGTGTCGCCCTCGCTCTCCTCCTCCTCCTCGGGCTACTCCGGCCAGCCTGGCGGGCGTGCCTGGACCCGGGGGGACGAGGCCCCCGCCGCCGCCCCCGAGGACGAGGCCCCAGAGGACGAGCCCTCCCGGGTGACTGAGCTCAAGTCGGAGGGGGGCGGCCCCGAGGCGGGCAGCGGGAGGCTGACCTACTTCCCGGCCTACGTGCCGCGCTCGCTGAAGCCCACCGTGCCCCCGCTGACCCCTGAGCAGTACGAGCTGTACATGTACCGTGAGGTGGACACGCAGGAGCTGACGCGCCAGGTCAAGGAGAAGCTCGCCAAGAACGGCATCTGCCAGAGGATCTTCGGGGAGAAGGTGAGCGGCTGCGGCCTGCCACCCGCGGGGGGCCCAGCCCAGCGTCCAGGGTGCAGAAGGAAGCCCAGAGCCAAGCACAGGCCCAGGGCGGCGTTTCAGCACAGGTCTGCCTGGCCCCGGGAAAGGCTTTCGAAATAGCCCCACCCCTCCCCGACTCCAGGGTCCTCCCTCCCTCCCATGGACCAGCCACCCTGAAGGAAGTCCAGCCCTGCCAGCCAGGCCTCAGGGCTCTCCCCTTGGCAGGGGAGCAGCCAGGCTACAGACACAGGGGAGAGAGAATGACCTAAGCGAGCAACCCAGGAAGCCTTCCTGGAGGAGGTGGTTTCTGAGAGTCTGAAAGCACAGGGTTATGGTGTGGCGGGTCACCCGGGCCTGCTGACACCCCTCCTGCACAGGTGCTGGGCCTGTCCCAGGGCAGTGTGAGCGACATGTTGTCGCGGCCCAAACCCTGGAGCAAGCTGACGCAGAAGGGGCGGGAGCCCTTCATCCGCATGCAGCTGTGGCTCTCGGACCAGCTGGGTCCGCCCGCCGGCCCGCAGCCCAGTGCCTCCCACGGTGAGTGCAGCGCCCTGTGACGGGCACGGTCCCCACGGTCCCCGGGCAGCCTCGAGGCAGAGCAGGAAGTCCCACCCCCGCTGCTCCCTGGCTTCCTGTGTGCCTGGCTCAGAGGGTCTGGGTGCGCCACTGAGGCTCACGATGCAGAGCCGCAGAGTCCGGGTGGGAGGGTGTCTCCCAGGACCCCCCAGTGATGTGGGGACCCCTGCCTGGCTTGAGGGAGCTTCAAGAACAGGGCGTGTGAGCCCCCTGTAACCAGAGACAGACACAGACGAGTACCAAGGGTCTCCCTGAGCCTCAGTTTACCTACTCCAAAGCGGGGCACCTACAGATGGGACCAAAGCAGGTGGCAGGAACGAAGCATTCTCCCAAGGGGATGGTTCTGGCCACTGGGCAGCTGCGGTTCCCAGTCATGCTCAGGCCGCGGACCCCCGCATGCAGGGGAAGTCGGGAGCCCGGCCCGCCACTGTGGGTGCAAGCGCCGTGGCCCCACACGCCTGGATCTAGTTTCACGTCTGCATCACAGCATCCGAATAGACGGGGAGGCGTGGGCGCAGCTGGGACGCACGGGGGAGATGCACGGGGCCAGGGCCAGGCCCCTCCATACCGTGTCTGGCCCGAGGGCCATGACCCTTGCCCTTCTCTGGCCCACAGCCAGTCCTGCCGAGCCCAGGTCGTCACCATCCCCTCCGCCGAGCCCCCCGGAGCCCGAGAAGAGCTCCCAGGAGCCCCTGAGCCTGGCCCTGGAGAGCAGCAAGGAGAACCAGCAGCCCTCACTCGGCGGGAAGACGCCCTCGGGCGGCCAGGCTTCAGGCGGCATCCAGGAGATGGTGGCCATGTCCCCCGAGCTGGACACGTACTCCATCACCAAGAGGGTCAAGGAGGTCCTCACAGACAACAACCTAGGTACGCGGGGCTCATGCGTGCGCCTCCTCGGGCCCTGGAGGGGCGTCAGTGAGCCGGGGCCCTGCACCCAAAGAGGGCCCAGGGGTGCGTGCTGGGCAGCTGGGACCTCGGCTTTCCCAGTCACCTTCCAAAGGATGTCTGGGAGCCAAGCTCGCTGAGACAGCTCTGCTGGGGCACAGGGGCCCACGGACCCCTCTGATCCCCAGGGGGTGCGGGACACAGACACCCAGTTTTTCATGATGCTTCCAATATGAAAAGAGGTTTATTGTTTAAAAACCTGTCCTGGAACAATAGCACAGCGCAGAGGGCGGCTGCCTGGCATCCTTGGCACCGCATAGAGTCCCCTGAGCCAGCCAGGAGTGAGCCCTGAGCACCACCAGTTGTGGCCCTAAAACAAAGTAAAAATGAATAGCACAGGGGCTGGAGCGATAGGACAGCAGGTAGTGTGTTTGCCTTGCGCGCGACCGTCCCGGGTTCGATTCCCAGCATCCCATATGGTCCCCTGAGCACCATCAGGAGTAATTCCTGGGTGCAGAGCCAGGAGTAACCTCTGGGCATCACCAAGTGTGACCCAAAAAGTGAAGAAAAAAGAAAGAAAGAAACGGCACAGAAAAAATTGACGCTAAAGAGGAAACAGCCTGGGGCCAGACAGTTCAGGGCCAGCCTGGGCATGCAGGAGGCTGGGCTTCTCCGACAGAAATGGACCCACTCACTCGCCATCACCCGTCCACCTTGTCTGCGGTTCTTTTTTGCTGCGTGCATGGAGCCACACACATGCTGTCCCCTAACTTCCTGTCTCTCATCCCCTGCTGGGCAGAGATGGCGAGCGCCTTCTAGGCCCAAGGCCCTGAGTTTGGTCCCAGCCCACGTGCTCAGGGCCCAAACCTCACACCTCACACTGGCCACGCACCCCTGGGAGGGGCCCCTCGGGAAAGGTGGCCACTGTGGGCTGGATCAGGACACTCCCTGTCTCACTGTGGCAGGGCTGCAGGCCTTGAGTGCCCCCCCACTAAGTGTGACCCCCTCAATGGGCAGTTAGGGTTTCCCACTTTGTGTTGGCCCGTCTTAGTTCCTCCCCAGGAAGGGTGCCCTGGGGCAAACCTTGAGCGCTGGAATCCAGGCACTGGCATTTCCGGTGCAAAGTGCCCAACAGGACACAGCTGAAGTTTGCCGGTATCCCAAGGGCCCCTTCAGAGAGAAGAGCCTCAAGTTTCGAGGGCCGTGGGGGTTGGGGGTCAGCACCCTGGGCCCGTGGAGGCACCCGGCTCCCCTTCCCCGCCCGCCAGCCGGGGGGTGACAGACCGCGCCCTCCCCGTCCCCAGGGCAGCGGCTGTTTGGGGAGAGCATCCTGGGCCTGACGCAGGGCTCCGTGTCCGACCTGCTGTCCCGGCCCAAGCCCTGGCACAAGCTGAGCCTGAAGGGCCGGGAGCCCTTCGTCCGCATGCAGCTGTGGCTCAGCGACCCACACAACGTGGACAAGCTGAGGGACATGAAGAAGCTGGAGAAGAAAGGTGAGGCCGGGCGGAGCGGGCTGCGGTCGGGGCTCAGCTGCACACCACAGCTGGAAGCGGCCCAGAAAGCAGGCCAAGCCCCCCCACCACCACACAGGAGCTCCCCGATGCTGCCAGGGAGCACTGCTGAGCTCGGCCAGGAGCCCCTGAGCACCGCGGAATGTGGCCCAAACAAAACAGGAAAGCGTCCCAGCCACCCCTGCCCTCTGCCTCCCACAGACCTGGCTATCCAGAGTCCCCGCAACCCCAGTGCTCTGGCTCCCCCCGTCCCCACCCCCACCCCCTGCAGAGACCGCCCTTAGCCTGTTTTGGCATCTCCAGAACCAAGCAGAGCCCAGAAGCAGCAAACGGGAAGTGGCCGCTGGGGGCGGGAGGGGCAGACACCTCCGCGGCCTCATACACTTTTCTGTCTTTCTGCACCCAGCGGGAAGGCGGGCAGGTGTGGAGCCTGGCCAAGGCGGCACTCCTGGGCATTAGGGGTGCGGGGTCATTTGAGAAGATGAGCTCGGAGTTGAACGGTGGCACACCGGGTACCAAGGCTGAAGGTGCTGAAGGGCTGTCGGACGACAGCTCCATAGCCAGGAACTTTGGCCTGCCCGTCCCATCTGTGTGGCTCTGGGCAAGCGCCTGCCCCTCTCTGGGCTTCATTCTGCCGCTGAGGCTTATAGTAACACTCTGAAACAGACAAGGCGGGGGGCCGCAGTCACGGGATCGGACCTGGTCCATCTTGAGACCCGCCTGAGCGGGATGTTAGAAAGATCCAGGGGCGCCGGGCAGGAAGAGGCTCCCGCCTCCCCAGATCTGGGTTCTGAAGGGGCTCGCTGTCACTGTCCCATGCCCCGCAGTTCCTGGCCGCTCAGGTTAATGAGCTGCCGACTCCAGTGCAGTGACGCTCAGTGGCACTAGAGAATGTGGCCAGGCCCCTCCTAAGCCCAGAGGTGCTAATGCCCAGACTTCAGAAGTGGACACAGCTGCTGCTGGCATCACGGCCACGGGCTTTCAGGGCTCAATCGGGGGTCACAGGCTCCCGGGCTCAGGCTTCCGGGCAGGTCTCAGCCCATCTGCAGTGGGAGGCTGCGTGTGACAGCGAGAGGGGGTGGGCGGGGAGCGGCCGCCCGCCTGGCCCTCAGCCCCGTCCCCGCCCACCCCAGCCTACCTGAAGCGCAGGTACGGCCTCATCAGCACTGGCTCGGACAGCGAGTCCCCGGCCGCCCGCTCCGAGTGCCCCAGCCCCTGCCTGCAGCCGCAGGACCTGAGCCTGCTGCAGATCAAGAAGCCGCGCGTGGTGCTGGCGCCCGAGGAGAAGGAGGCGCTGCGGAAGGCGTACCAGCTGGAGCCCTACCCCTCGCAGCAGACCATCGAGCTCCTCTCCTTCCAGCTCAACCTCAAGACCAACACGGTCATCAACTGGTTCCACAACTACAGGTGAGCTGCAGGGGGTCCCGGGCTCAGCCCTGCTCGCAGGGCCCTCGGAAGAGGCGAGACGGAAAGCAGGGGCTGTTGGGATTTAGAATGGGAGCGAAAAGGGACGCGCGTCCTGGTGCCCCTTCCGGCCGGGACACCGGGGGCTGCCTTCTGTGCCTCCCCGAGTCACAGAGGGAATTGGTGGATTCTGCTCCGTAGAGTTATCCAGAACATTCCTCTGGCCAGAGACAGCCAGCACAAGGTGTGGGAGCGTTGGCCTCCAAGTGACCACTGCCCTTCTCATGATGTGGACCCTCAGTTAAAGAACCCACGTCTGGGGCTCCTGAGGACAAAGGAGACATCTGGTCCCCGCCAGGCTGCCCGGGATGGGCTGACGTGTCTGTGTCTGGCCTCCCCCCGTGTCTGTCTGTGGTCCGGAGCTCAGGGCAGGCTCTGGGCATGGACTCACTGTAGTGGCCACTGCGCCCTCTGGGCTCTCGGGTCATCTTCCAGGTGGCCAGTTTCATGGACAGGACGTGTCTGGTGCTGGAGAGACCATCCACCACACCGTGGTCGGGGGGGCACTCAGGAGTCTGGGTGGGGGGACAGAGCAGCCTGTGCACACCCAGGGGCACCCCGAGCCTCTTCCCTCGTGTCCTTGGGATCCCCCGGCCTCCCAGTGTGGCCCAGGGCCTGAGAGCACCCAGCGACAGCACACCTCGGGCCTAGCTTGGGCTCTCAGCTCTGGGCCTCCCCGGGGACAGGTGGCAGAGGCCCTGTCCCTCCTCCTTACCGGGACAGCTGGGAGACCCTCTCCCTTGGCTTCTCTGTGGGAGCTGGACACACCATTAGTAGCCAGCATGCTCCTGCAGCAAGCTTGTGGGGTGAGAGCCAAGTTCTCTGGGTGCTCAGGAATTACGGGCCATGCCACATCCAGGACCCCGGGCACACAGCGCCGAGGGAGAGGCAGGAGAGGGCCCTGTGCGCCCGGTTCTGAAGGCCGAGCAGGAGCTCGCACCTCAGCAGAAACACAGTCCGCAGAGGGCTTCGTATGGTCAGCAAAGAGCCTGCTCTGTGCCGGCCCAGAGAAGACAAACGCGAGCCCTGGAGGCCAGCAGCGAAGGTCACCGTAGAGTGGGCTTCCTGCTGAGGCATCAGCACTGGCCTTGTGAGCCTGACCAAAGCAGTAACGGCGTATTTGAGAAAAAAGGAAGACCTCGCTGTTGGCCTTGGTGGTCGCTGGGGCCTCTGGTGGGGAGAGGCCCGGTTCACTCGAAGGCGTGCGTGACCCCAAGGTGTCCCCCACACAAGCACCTCTGACCCCGGGTCCCAGACAGGAGTGACCCTGGGGGGGCTGTGCAGGGACCCCCCCCCACACATCCCAGGGGTGAGGCTGGGGTTGCAGGGAGCCAAGCGTTGGCCCCGGAGCAGAACAAGATGCCTGACACTGACTCCGTGTCCACCCGTCTGTCTGTCCCTCGGCGCCTCCTTCTCTCTTGCTGCCTGTGGGCAGAGGCTGCAGCTCTAGTTTGGGTCCCAGACGGGCCATTCAGCCTCTCTGAGCCACGGGCCACCCCTTCCCTCTGACCCGGGCCCTGGCCAGGAACCCAGACACCCTCTCCTCTCTGTGTCACTGTTTGTGGGTCTGTCCAGGAGAGATGTGGGTCGGGTCCGGCCAGGTCTGACTTGGAACTGCCCCAGCAGGGACGCACTTGGCCTGGCCTGTGTGTAGCCCTGGGTTCCGGCCCCACACAGGACAGAGAAGGCAGGCCAAGTGCATGGTTCAGAATGTCCATGGGGAGAAAAGGCAGAAGCCACTCTGGCTGTTTGGGACCCTGGTGAATCCCACCCACTCAGACCCATCAGGTCGAGGATTCTCAGGCCCACCTCGGGGGTCCTGAGCCCAGCCAGCTCTGTCTGGCACGCCGTGTGGTTGGGCAGCCCACGGCTGTGCAAAGGGCCTGTTATGGGAACGTGCCCATGGGAAGTGGCTGAGGGCCTCGGCACCCTGGGAGGGGGTCCCCGCCATCGCTCACCTGGCCGTCTCTGCCCCAGGTCCCGGATGCGCCGGGAGATGTTGGTGGAGGGGAGCCCGGACGAGCCAGACCTGGACCCGAGTGGAGGCCCCGGCGTCCTTCCGCCTGGCCATTCCCACCCGGACCCCACCCCAAAGAGCCCCGACTCGGAGCCCGAGGAGCAGAAGCCCTCGGGGAAGGAGCTGGAGCTGCCGGAGGGTCCCGCGGGGCGCACCGCACCCCCAGGCCAGGGTGCCGCCGTCAGGGTCAAGCTGGAGGAGGCAGACGAGGACCCCACGGATCAGGGCTGCCGGGACCCCGGGGAGGCCCTCCACAGCCAGAGCTCCCCCTGGGAGACGCCTTGCGACCCGCCGGGCAACGACGGACCCCCCACAGCCGCTGCGGGGCACCCAGAGGGTGAGGGCCCACCCCACCCGGACCCACCGGGGTGCCCACCAGGCCCCGAGGCCTCCCGCCAAAGCCCTGCACCACGGGACTCGCCCTCCGCGTCCCCCACGCCCTCCTCCTCCGGCCCCCTCTCCCCCTGCCCGCCCGGCGCGCCCCCCACCACAGTGCCGAGTACCAGCCCCGCCGCCGACTCGGCCGGGGCCCTGCACCCCAGCGCCAAGGTGAACCCCAGTTTGCAGCGGCGCCACGAGAAGATGGCCAACCTGAACAGCATCATCTACCGGCTGGAGCGGGCGGCCAACCGGGACGAAGGCCTGGAGTGGGAGTTCTGAGGGTGGGGACGGGCGGGGGCCCCCCAAGGCGGCCCTCGCGTGACGCCCTTCCCGGTTCCTGGCTTGATCCTACTTCCTAAGGTTGTGGTGAGGGGGCGTGGCCCAGCCAGCCCCCCGTTGCTCCCCGCACCGGGCACCCGGGCACCTGCTTCTCCACCTTCCGCGGCCTCTGCAGGAGACAGAAGCCGAGTGGCGCCACGTTCTCACCTGAAAACTCCAAACTCTTTTAGAAAAGAAAAAAAAATCGAAATATTTATAGACTTCTTTTAGATATTTTAATAAAGGATCCTTTGGAATCTATCCCCCACCGCCGTGGTTTTGATATTACAGAGAGTTATAAAATCAGGATGTCGTCACAACTGTCGCCAAGGGCCCGCTGAAGTTGTGTCGTGTTTTTGTTTTGTTTTGTTTTTTTGCCACTAGATGAGATTAAAAGAAGACAATTGCTCAAAGCCATCACGAAACACTCTAAGATTGACCAAAATGTAGATGACCTTTGAACTGCAGTGTTTTTGTCCCCTCCCGTGTCTGTCTGTGAGACACAGCGCCTCGCTCCTGCCCTTCCAGAAACCCACCGTGCTGAAAAGACCAAGTCCGAAAGACTCTAAATGAAAACCTCCGTGCCCGGGGGTCAGGCCGTAGCCAAGTGGGCCGTGCCCAGCGTCCCATCCTCGTCACCATGCCACCATGCAGACCCCTGGCCACGACGTGTCTGATGTGTGTTTCCAGGCGTGGGGGCTTGGGGGGCACTTGGGGTCTTCGCAAGGCCAGGGCCTGTCTTCCTCTCCGTGGGCTTCACAAAGCAGTCGTGGTCATCCCGCCCGGCGCCCGACGGCAGGGCCGCCCGCCTGGACGCCAAAGCTCCTGTCTCGCCGCCACCCCTCCCACGCAGACCCTGGTGCTGTTTTCTGGAAGGTCCCTACCACCACGAGCCACGCAGGGCAGAGCGAGACGGCTCACTGCACGAATCTCCCCTCTCACCTGCCTTCCACACGCGGACTCGACTCCCCTGCCAGCTTCCCGGTGGGGGGAGATGCCCAGATGAGATGGAACGGACCACTCTGTTGGTTATTGGGGTCTCCGTTTTCTCTTCCAAACTCCCCGAGGAAAGGCTGAGTTAGGCGACGCCCCGGCTGAATTCCATCAACCGTGGGCGACCGTCATGGGTGTCCGCGGGACCAGGGGGAGAGACGGCTGGCCTTGGTTCCGAGCTGCCGTGAACATTTTGAAATCAGGAGAACGAAGCCCAGTGGCCAGAAGGGGGCGACCGAGGGCCACTCAGAAAATTTCTGCTCTCCCTGCTAGGGGCGGCCGCATCCTGCCCACCCGCCACCCCAACGGACCCTCTGAGCTGCAAGCAGGCCTCGCCGCGCCCCGGGCTCTGCACTGACACGGTTTTCCACTGTCTCCGTTTTTATCCAGAGGAAGGTATTTTTATATTCTGACATTAGGAAACAGTGACCAATTTTCAGAGTAAGCCAGTCTGGAACACGGGAGTCCTCTGAGCCACCCCGTTGCAGAGACAGCCCGGGGAGGGGGTGGGGCGAGGGGACGCGCCACTATTTACTGTGGGAGCTGCAGGCCACGGGCCTCCTGGAGAGCTCGAGCTGGCCCGTGTGTGCCGGGACCCACACAAGCAAAAGGTCTCGGTCCTGTTGCGCTCCGGAGAGCGTAGCCGTGAGCCCGGCTACACCCGCCCACCACGCCGTTTCTATGAGAGATTGATGAACTTTGTTTAAAATTAAAAGAAACAAAACAAACAAAAAAGGACACGTTCTGTAAATGCGTCACTCAATACAGAATTGTATAATAATGTCCGAGAGTCCTTTGGCTTTGTTCTGGAGCTGGGGGTGCAAACCGGGTGGGCGGGTCGGGGGCCAGGTCCTCGGAAAATGCCTCACACGGGCATTTTCAGGAAAGTTGGGGTGGAAAGACCCCGTGTCGCCTGGTATCTCCGGGAAACAGAGTGGCCTGCCCGGAAATGCTCCGTGACCGTGGCCCACCTACCCGCCCGGCCTGGAGGCACCTGGGCTGGTCCCACCCCGCACTGCTTCTCTGGGACCCGCACACAGGAAGCTGGGGTGGCTGCTAGTTTGCTTACTGCATTCTCGGTAGATGCAGAAGAGGCGAGGGCAGCCTCTGGGTGGTGAGAGCCTCAGTTTCCTCATCTGTAAAGTGGGGGAGCTCAGCCAGCTGGGAAGGTCACTGGGAGAGAGTGGGGTGTAGCTGGGGGCGGGGAAAGTAACAACATTTCCGGGGCACCACGCTGCCAGGAGCCCTCTGGGTCGCGGGAGGGAGGTTTTGTCTTAGTGGGCTGTGCCGTGAGAGTCCAGGGGGGCCCCCGGCGCCGATGTTACTCATCGTGCGCTGCGGCCACGTGGGGTCTCAGCTGTGTCTCCCCAGCACCGTTTTCCACACGCCTTGGTGAGGAAGAGCTGACTCATTTCCCATCACTCTCCTGGGGGTGGCCGAGCACCCACCAAGGGGGCAGGCAGGGGTGGGGGACTGGCCGGGGCCTGTCCCGGTGGGAGGGGGACACTCCTGGCCGCACCCCGGGAAGGCGAGGCCTGGGCTGGCCCCCCAGATGTGAAGGGCTGGCGCGATAAGCACGTGCTCAGGAGGATCCCAGGGGCGCGCGTCCAGGGCTGGGCTGGCCACCGCAGCTCACTGCTCTGGCCGAGGTCAGGAGCTAGAAACCCCCCAGTGGGAGGCCGGGCGGGAACTGCCTCCTGCAGAGTCACCTGGGAGGGCGGATGTCCCAGGGTCCAAAGGCAAGTGACCCGGCCTGTGGGGGACAGACGCTGATCTCTCTTAACTGGGCCCTTCTCCCAGCCCCTCAGGTGAATGTGAGAAAAACGGGTTTGCTTTGGTCGGGGCCACACCTGGCGGTGCTCAGGGGTCACTCCTGGCACTGCTAGAGGGACCATATGTGGGGCCAGAATGGAACCCGAGTTGGCTGCGTCCAAGCGCACTCGCCTTCCGCAGGACAGTCTCCCTGCCCCCTGCCCTGATCTCCACCTCCCACACACGCAGTGGACACCAGCCCAGCAGGGGCCTGTGAGGGAGCAGCTACCCCCGCCCGAGCTCATCCATTAGGGAGGAAGCCTCTGGAGGCAGAAGACCCAAGAGGGCCCACCTGAAGCTTTAGGTAAGTGTACACAAGGCCATTTATTAGCTCAAAGACGGGCGGGGGGGGGGGGGGTACCTGCATCCGCTGGTTGAGTCACCCAGACACGATCTCAAGTAGACCTTAATTCCCGCCGGAAATAGCCCCCCTAGAGTGGCCTGCCTTGGGGTCACAGTGTGGCTGCCACAGCGCCAGCCATCAGATAGAACTTACCTCCAGAGAACAATAAGGAGCCCGGCGCTGAGCCCCTTTTTATTTTTATTTTATTTATTTATTTATTTATTTATGCTTTTTGGGTCACACCTGGCGATGCACAAGGGTTATTCCTGGCTCTGCACTCAGAGGGGTTACTCCTGGCTCTGCACTCAGGAGTTACTCCTGGCGGTGCTCAGGGGACCATATGGGATGCTGGGAATCGAACCCGGGTCGGCCATGTGCAAGGCAAACGCCCTACCCACTGTGCTATCTCTCCAGCCCCTGAGCCCCTTCTTAGAAGCAAGAAGAGCCATAATAATCTCTCTGCCTCCTTAGGGCCTCACCTCGTTTTCTCAGAAAATTCCCTTCGGAAAACATTCAATATGCCCCCAAAACCTGAACAGGTGAAGACTTTTCCTTTTTATTTTTTTTCCAGTTTTTAAGTCACACCTGGCAGTGCTCAGGGCACCATCTGCAGTGCTGGGGGTGGAACCCGGGACAGTCTGTGCAAGGCAAGAGCCTTCGCTGCGGCCCATCTCCTGCCCGGGCAGTGCCCCCAGCACTCGGGGTCCTGCTTGTCCTGTCCTGCTTCTCTGAGGACGGAACCCCAGCCTGCCCCTGCACTGTGCCCGCGCCCCACGCTCACGTCCCGCCTGACCCCTGCCCCCCTTTCCCTTGGCCCCAAGAGGCCTGGCAGGGGCGGGCCCACCTGTGGGGCTGTGTCGTGCCGTCCCCCGTCCCCCCCCCATCTGTCCCGTGGCCTGCGGTGACTGGCCACAGATGCCTCCCTTGGCAGCGCCCTGACTCAGCCCATGCGGGGAGCCACTTCCTCTGCCCCCTCAGCCCGCCGCGGTCCCTGGAAGGGGGACACGTTACTCAGCGCTCCCGGGATGCCAGGGAGACGGGAGCCCGAGTCTGTCGCCTGTGGGCGCCGGGCCGCAGGGTGTTGGCCTGAGCCAGGTTCCCCGCGCTGTGGGGAGGGTCTCCCCAGGCTGGCAGAGGGGGGCGTTGAGCCACACACTGTCCTGACCTCGGACCACCTGCTCCCGTGAGCCAGGGAAAGGGCGTGAGTGCAAGAGGCGTCCTGAACCCAGCCCTGGCCTCCCCCCTCGGAACTCGCCCGCAGGCATGGATGAAAAGACCTTGGCTGGAAACTTCCGTGCGACCCCCACGGGCTCGTCCCCCAGCCCCACCCCTCCAGCTCCCAGACGGGCCGGGCCGCCTTCCTCCAGAGGGTTCCAGAAATTCCCACCCCAGACAGGCAGTTTCTGGCAGCTGTGAGCTCAGATGCTCCGGGCACAGGCCAGACCTACCCCAGGACACGGCGAGTGGCTGCCCTTGCCTCTGCCAGGCCCTGCAGTCGAGAGGAAGGCCATGGGTGGGCAGGCAGGGCAGCGGGCCAGGAAAGTGCTCACCCTGCGCACAGCCAACCCTGAGCACGGCCAGGAGTGATCCCTGAACACAGAGCCAGGAGCGACCCTGAGCACTGTCAGGCGTGATCCCTGAGCAGAGTCAGGAGTGATCCCTGAGCACAGAGTCAGGAGCAATCCTGAGCACTGTCAGGTGTGCTCCCTGAGCACTGTCAGGAGTGATCCCTGAGCACTACCAGGAGTGACCCTGAGCACAGAGTCAGGAGTCAGCCCTGAGTACCGCTGAATAAGACCTACCCCCAAAAAAGGGGGGGGTGAGGGGAGAGAGAGAGGGAGAGACACCACAAGCCATCACTTGACCAACTTTTATTTCTGCTCTTACCCCAGCCCAGGCACTGGGCGCCCCCCCCCCCCCACAGCCCAAGGGGAGGCCCGGGGGTCGTCGTACCGTGAAGCTTGTAAACTTGGACCTGGACCAGACCCGTCCTGCAGGCAGGCCCCGGTGGCCCCGGGCCAGGGCCGGGCAACCCCTACCTGCCCACCCAGATGAGAGGTTCGACCCAGGACTCTGGAGTCAGACAGGAGTGACAGAGCCTGCTGGTCTCACCTGTCCCCACCTCCGCCCCAACCCCTCCAGCAGCCAGCAGGAAATGCTCGTGAAGACCCCAGCTTGATGCTGGGGGTACGGCGGGGGGAGAAACACCCCCAGTACTAAAAATCCAAAATTAAATTAAAACCAAAGCGCAGGTCACTGAACCAGCAGTGAGCTGACAGCTGACAGCCACACAGACACCCCCCCCCCCCGTTCTCTTCCGGGGCTCCCAAGGCCAGGGGGAGGGTCCCGGGCCAGGTCAGCCTGAGCCCAGAGAAGGCGTCTGGAGAATAAAGTTCGGGGTGGGGAGTCCTGAGGGAGCCCCGTGTGAGGACTGTAAACATGACCAAGCTGAAGGGCGGGGGCAGCCTAGACCCCCCCCCCCCCGTGACGGTGGAGAAGCGCGAGGTCTGGTGGCCCTGCGGGGGGGAGGGGTTGGAGGGCGAGGGGGGCACAGCCAAGTCTCCCCACCAATGCTCAGTCCCAGGGCCCTTCCCAGGGCTGCCGCTCCCTGGGTGACCGTGCTGGAAGGTCAGCTCAGGCCATGACGAGGTCAGGAGAGCTGGCGGCCCTGGGGTGCGGGAGAGGGACCTGAGGCAGACGTGGAGAGCAGGGGACATGGCCCGGGGCCAGAGGTCACTGCTGCTGCCAGGACACTCGGCCGTGCTGGGCTGCCCAGGCCCAGGATCTGGTTTGGGGGGGCACCCGGCCTGGCGGACACCTGCCTTCAGGTTCCGCTGGCCCTTGCCAGGCGGGGCAGCACCCGCGTGTCCTCGTATGCGGGCTGGCCTCAGCGGCCCCTCTCGGGCACCCCCAACTCCTAAAGCACCAGCCCCCTGAACCGGGGGTCACCCGGCTGGCCCCGGGCTGGGCGCCCGCAGCCTTTCGCAGTGAGGGGGGACCCCCTCAAGGCCGGGCACGGCTCTCCTGCCAGCAGGCGCGCAGGGCGCCCACCTCGCGGCCGTACCACTCGTGCAGCTGGGCGAAGGGCGCGCCCTGGGGGGGCGCGAGGGTGCGCCGGCGCGGGGGCGGCCGCGGCGGGGCCTGGGGGTCCCCGGGGGGCTCGGCGTACCAGACGGCGCAGCCGTTGTCCTTGGCCTTGGTGGGCGGCGGCCGCAGGCGGCGCGGCGCGGGCACGGGGGCCGGGGCGCCGGCCTGCACAGCCGCCAGCTGCCGCTCCAGCTCGCGCAGCACCACCCGCAGGTACTGGACGCTGGCGCGGGACAGAGCCTTGACCCAGCGCTCCAGGCCCGCCTGGCTCTCGGCCGCCAGCTGGTAGGCGCGCGCGCGGCCGTCCGGGAAGCGCACGGCGAAGGCGAACTCCACGGCCGCCTCCACCAGCTCCACGGTGCAGCCCTCCAGCACGATGACGCCCGCCGGCTCGCGGCTGGCCGCGTCCTCGAAGTAGAAGAGCATGTTCCCCCGGAGCACGAACCAGCGGCGCTGGTAGGCCGCGTGCCGGCCGCGCTGCAGCAGGAAGCCCTGCGAGTCGGCCGGCGCCGGGCTGGTGGCGTAGGAGGCCAGGCTGCGCTCGTTCAGCTTCATGCTGCCTGCGGGGTGGCACCCAGGGGGACCGCCGTCACCCACGGGCCTCACCGCCGCCCGGGCCAGCCCCGTGGGTGTCCCCGTCCTCTGCCCTCCCCCCACTCCCGGCACTGAGGCTGCCTGCTGCAGGGCCGCCCCGTCTGGCGTGACCCCGCCTTCGACAGACACGTCACCGGCTGGTCAACACCTGGGCGGGGCGGGGCTGGTGGCCGACTGGCGTCCCCCCCCCCCCCCGGGCCCAGCCCATCTGTCACGACCCTTCTGGCCCCGCTTGCCCTGGCCCATCGAGGGCCGTGGAGAGCTGCGGGGTCCCTGCAAAATCATCCATTCGGTGCTTACCCTGCCCCCAGCACCACTGTCGGGGCCAGCAGTACTGGGGGGGAGGGTCCCTGTCACACCGCGTGGACGGGGCTGCAGGGGCCACGGGAGGGGGCCAGGTGTGTCCCGGTGCCGGGGAACCTCAGGGAGGCGCGGGGAGTGCCGGGCCTGGAGAATGTTTGCTCTTACCTGGCTGGAGCAGGTAACGGACCCTCTGGTCACAGGCAGTCTCGCTGGCAGCAGAGGGGGCAAGTGCCAAGGCAAAGCGCGGGGCCCTGGAGGTGGGCAGCGGGCAGGGCAGGGCGCCCTGTGCCCTGGGGAGGCTGTGGGCAGGGCAGACATGGCAGTGCCTGGGGTGATTCTGTCCCCTTCACCCGAGGAGCACCGGACGAGTAATCACTGCCCGGGGAGGACCCACTGTCTATGCTCTCTGAGGACCCCCCATGCCCACCCCACCACGAGGTCCAGCTTCCCAGCCCTACTCTCCGCCGGAAGGACAAGGAGCTACATTTCCCAGAGAAGGGATGTAGTAGGTGTTCATTTAATGCACCTTCCCTGGCTGGGGCGGGGTCTTACTTGGAGCCCAGAGGAATGGGATATGGCTGGTGCCACTCCTGGCAGCAGCTGGCCACAGAGGGGCCCATCCAGGCAACCTGAGCCAGGGTGGAAGAGAATCTGCCCCTTCCTCACCCCCTCACCTCACCTGCCTCGGCGGTCCAGAGAGGCTTCCTGGGAGAGGCAGCAGGAGCCCTGATTAAGAATCTGAGCTCAGCCTTTCCTGACACAGGGGCCGCGTCAGGCCAGAGCCTCTCAGGCCGCAGTGCCCGCCCAACGGCTGGGCTCAGTCTCCCAGAACCGGGCGCCTTCAGGTCCCAGCTGCCCGATCTGCAGAACGTGACTGGTGCGTCTCCCCACCCCCACGGGGCCCCCATTCCTCATGGGCACCACCCCCCACTCACCTCCTCTCAGCTCCGTCTCGGCGTGCTCCTCCCTGGGTCGGAACCAGCTGGACGGGCCGCCTCCACACCTGCACAGGGGTGGGGTTCCTGAGGGTCACGGTGCCCCGACAGCAATGGGCAGCCCTGTCCCCGCAAGTCTCCCGGGTCTGCCCCTTCAGGCCAGCTGACCCCCTTCCCCGACCCCATCTCGGCCCACGGCCCCCAGCACCGCGCCCCGGCCCCCTGAAGTCCTTTCCCCACTGAGGGGTTCCCGGGGAGGGCGTGAAGGTGCAGTGACTGGCACACAGGCTGGTGCCGGGTACCCACAGGAGGAATCGACGACTCCGACCCTTCTGCAGAGCCACGCAGAGATGCAGAAGCCCAGCAAGGGGTCAGGGGCTTCCCCAAGGCCCAGGCCACGGCCCCAAATCACAAGTGTGTGTGAGGGGGGTCCTGATCTTGGGGAAGGTCCTACTCCATGAAGGCACAGGTGGGTTGGGGGAAAGCGAGTCCTGCCTGCCAGCGGGGCACCAGCCGCTTCTCCGGCCAGTGAGAAAGGGGGACAGGAAGCAGCTCGGAAGGGCTGGGGCCCGCTTATCTCCACACTCACTACCCATCCAGGTTCAGAGTCCGGCCCGGGCACGGCGGATCCAAGCAGCCGTGCCACGCAGCAGGAAACCGGCCGGCTCTGCCCCCCTCCACCCAGCCCGAGGGGGAGACGGCTTCTCACCGGTCTCCGGGGCGGCCTCGGCCTCCGTCCGGCGGGCAAACAGCTGGGAGGGCACTGCAGTGTAGCCGGCCTGGAAACCGGAGATTCTCACAGCCTCCTGGCAAAAGGGGGACACTCACGGCCCGCCAGCGGGGGGCTTCAGAAGTCCATCCGGAAAAGCTCCCTGCCTGCCCCCAAAGGCAAATAATCAGCCCAAGTCTCCCGGGACACAGCTGGCCTGCATGCATGGAGAATGGGGAAACCAAGGCAGGGAACCGGGCAATGCCTTTCCAGGGGAGGTCGGAGCAGGGCAGCAGCCCAGCTGCCACGAGGGTCCCTGAGCTGGGCCCGGGAGAGGGTGGGCACCGCGAGCCGGGCTGCAGGGGCCGGCTCCCCAGCTGCCCACGGGCCTTTGGGCGTCCATCTGGCTCCCAAGTTCCCGAAGGGACAGCGAGAGCCCCGGAGGGGGGTGGGGGGACAGAGTGGCATGCGGGTGCCAAATGTAAGACCCCCCCTCCCGGGTTGGGGTCGCCAACAGCTGCGCAAGCCAAGGGGCAGTCACAACCTGGTCCTCTCCATGGCCCGAGTCGTTGTCCCCTCGTGTCCCTGCCCTGCCCTGCTGAGCCCAGCTCCTGCCCTGCCCTGCCCTGCCCTGCCCTGCCCTGCCCAGCCCCCGGCCCTGCCCAGCCCAGCGCGGCCCCCGCCCCACCCCCTCCCCGGCCCTGCGCGGCCCCCTCCCCTCACCTCGCGGCGCGGCCTAGGGCGGCGGGGCGGGCAGCGCGGGGCCGGGGCACAGCCCGGCCATGGCCCGGGACCCGCTCGGCGGCGGCGACAGCGACAGCGACAGCGGCGACGCTGCTTTGTCTCGGGGCGGCCGGGCCGGGGCCGCGGCTCACGGCAGGAGGCGGGGCGGGGGGACCCTGCCGGCGGGCGCGACGCTCCCCTTTAAATAGGCCCCGCCCACCTGCTCCGGCCCCGCCCCCTCGCTCCTTCCGCCCTACGATTGGCCACCTCCGCCCCTCACCCTGGCGTGCCCGCCCCCGAAGCCGTTCTTAAAGGAACCGCGACGATTCCCGGACTCCTTTCTCCCAGGAAAGAGGAACTTCCCAGAGTTCACCTGCCTCCTGGGAGTAGGGACAGAAGGTGCATCTTGGGAAGGGACCGCATCCTGGGGGGTGGGTCTGGGGGTGGGCGGTACCCTGGGGGTGGGACTAGGGGGAAGGGCGGTACCCTGGGGGTGGGGGGCGGTACTCTGGGGGTGGGTCTGGGGGAGGGGCGGTACCCTGGGGTGGGGGTGGGGGAGGGGCGGTACTCTGGGGGGTGGGTCTGGGGGAGGGCGGTACCCTGGGTGGTTCACACCCGAGCACCCTGGAGGTTGGACCCTGGTGGTGGTTGGCAGCTTGGGCCCATTTAACCTCCTGCTGAATTTGAAAAATAACTCCAACTGTGTTTGATTTGTGATTTGTTGATAAAAGCTGAATCCAGGGCATTTGGGACCTTCTGACAAAATAACTAGGGGACTGGACCCTGTGTGTGCCCCTGTCCCGGTGAAGAAGGAAAGTTCTGGAACTGGGCAGACTGGGGTTCCAGCCTTCCTAGAATATTTAAGCACTGAGGGAGGGACTTAGAACTGTAAAGACACCCCCCCTTCACCCCTGCAGAATGCAGGGTCCACGCTCTGGGTCAAGAGGAACAAAAAGGAACTGAATTCCTTTCTCCCTACCTCAGGTCACCCCATGTGTGATTTCCTGCCCTCTCCAAGCCGCCCCAGGCCTGACCCCGGGGCCAGAATCCTCCTCGGACTTATTTCGTTCACAGTGTCCTAGAGGGTGATCCAGGTCAGCCGGATCAGTGAAATGGTCTTGCTTGGGCAGGCTGACAGCGGGCCTGGGTAGGAAGACTGGAAGAGGTGGGACAGGTGGGCACCTGGGGAAGGACAGTCCTGGCCAACCCAGAGGGCTGCGGGCTGTTTGAGGCATCAGAGGGCAGAGAGAGGTGAGTGAGGGTCCGGGGAGCCCGTCCGGGTGCCTGCAGTCTGGACTGGTGAGCTGGAGGCTTCCCAAGCTGGCGCGTGGGTGATCGTGCGGGCAGCCGTGTCTGAAGCCGGTTGGCCTCAGATCTCTCTGATACATTACGGAGGGTGTTGCCAGCTATTGACGGAGCCAGGAGCTCCCGTGAGGGTGAGGGGAAGCTGAGGTTTGCTTTCTAAGCTGTCCGGCCCAATAAGGAAGCTACAGGAGAAAATTGCTGTCTATCCCATGAAAATTTGGACAGATTGCCCATTAATCAAAGCCAATCAAACGGCAAGGCGCCACCAACTTCTGGCAGGGCGCCAGGACAGGGAAGAGCTTCAGAAACCGCTGCGAGGGGGCTGTGCGGTGGGGGGGGGGGGGCGCCTACCACATGCAGCCCACTGGGTTCCACCCCAGGGGTCCCTCACACCCAGGTGGAGCTCAGGCCCCCCAAAGGGGGTTCATAAAGCCCCAGGACTTAGGCCTTCTAGATCCCAGCAAAGAGTTTCCTTTTCCTCCGGGAAAATAGGGCCAAGAGGTAAGATGTGAGGAGGCAGAGGTATGAGATCAGAGAGTCCTGGATCGCGCCATACCTGATGCTGTTGTCTTAATCCCCCAGGCCAGAAGCAAGGTCGAGTTTTTCCTCAAGTCCTGACTCTTTCGAGATAAGGGAAATGTAGATTGTGGGCCTTAGAGTCTCCAGGTAGGGGAAATTTCTCAGAGGTGTGCAAGGCGGCTGTAGTTATAGGTCGAAGGGTGGAAGCGGCCGGGCAGGGAGTAGCCTGCTGTCCCGTGGACTGTTCTCCTGATTGGCTTTCTTAAGGAGGTGAAATCCACACAGAAATAGGAACAGTCTGTGGGGTGGGAGCAAGAGCACAGTGGGTTGGTCACTTGCCTTACACACAGCTGACCCTGGTTCAATCCCTGACATCCCATATGCACTCCTGAACACCGCCAGGAGTGTTCAGGAGGGACCCCTGAGTATCGTGGGGCGTGACTCTAAAACAAGCCCCAAAAAAAAGTAGCCGTTTTCATGGGGCTTTATTTTTTGTGCTTGAT